AAGGAGAAATTGGCGATGTTCGGGGATCGCTTTCCAAAAAAATGAAAAGAAATCAAAGCTGGCTTTATTCCTCACAGCCATTTTCGCCTATGTAGGATGTTTTAGCACGTCAGAACACCTAATCCCTTACCAGGGTGAAAATCGATCGAGGATTCGTCGACGACTAGTCGAGAATTTTTGCCTGCTCAGTCCCAATCTCCCACGCGGTCCTTCACCCTCGATGCTATTCTCACTCAGTTCATAGCCATAGTCGAGGTCGACCGTTAATCACCCTGTTCCTTACCCAAGCCCTGTTGCTATAATAGCTAGAAAACTGACCGTCAGCCAGGTCGTTGTCGAGCATGAACTTCGAAATATCAAAGTCGTCGGCTCGCCCCATTTTCAGCGATGATCCTTTTGATCTGCGAAACACAGCCACCACCATCGGATTCGGCTCTGGGCGGAAATTCTCCGATGGCTCGTAGTCGTGCAGCACCTGAAAATAATTTTTTAATGGTTTTTTCTTCCCTAAAAAACTCCTAAGGTGTAAATCCTGCAGCTTACCATAGGTTGACGGGGAAAGCCCGTCAGAAGATAGTTGAGAGTTCCAAACCCGACATCTATGATGGCTATGATGAACTCTTCGTCGTATTGTAACCCATGCCAGGTGATTTCTGGCTTTGACCGGATAAAGTATGGCGCCACAGGGGACATGTCCGGGTCTGCCTCCACAATCTGGACGCTCCCGTTCCCAGCTCGGAAATCATGATCGCACGCCCGATATTCACCTAAACAAACTCTTTGAGTCCTTCAAAGAGCCCTTAGACCTGTGCAGCACCAACCTGAATGTGCTCGAAATGTGACGCGAGGAAAAATTTGAAGATTCCTCAAATAGGCTGCATGGTAGGTCCTGACACGAAACAGACGACTTCCCACCGAGTGGAAGGCGCTCAGATGTGGTGGTCCGAAAGCAGTCTACCGGATCGGCATTACGACCCTGACATAGGGACCGTCGCTGCTCTCCGAACCAAAATCTAAACAGGT